CATATATTTATAACAAAGGAAACAATCCTCAACTCCAACTATCTTCAATTAGTAACTTTATTCACAAGTTCATGTCTACTCCATCCATTTAACTTAATCAACATCAAGATAACTTTAAGCACATGCAATAACACAATACACATACCTCCTATAGTAACTTCAAGTTGAAATCCAAGTTATATTCAGCTTGAAACAACCCTCAATGGCAATACAACACCATAGAAGTGACTTAAGCTAATCCAAGTATTATCTTGTAGTTTATCATCCTAACAACTTAACCAACATACAATCAAGCTTAAGCACAATTAGTAGACTGTTATACTCACCTTAGCCAGTAGCAACAACTTGGAATTTCAGCCAAACACAGCCCACAACAATCCTTTATGACAACACAACCTCAAAGAGGTGTTGTTCTTCAATATAACTAAGTTTTGATGTTGAAATATGGTGTAATCACTTCAAACCCTTGTGGTATCTGTTTAGAAGGGTTAGGAGAAGTTCGGAGACGAAATTGAGTTGAAAATGACTTAAAAATAGGCGTCCAAATTGTTTATAAAGTGAAGTAGGCCGACCACTGCCTAAGTGGGTCCCATTGGGAGCTGCTTGTGCAGTCTCGCAAAAATGCGAATATCTCTCTACTCTGATGTCGTATTAACAAATGGTTTAATTTGTTAGAAACTAGACTCGTAGATATTCAATCTGGTAGGTAGATCACCCCATAATTCCAAGTATATTTGGAGAAAAGCTCATCTAAATTTGACCTAATTTTCAGCACATTTATGAATGTAACTTGTGATGACCTTTGTCAACTTTTGTTCCAAAATTTGCTTGCCTTCAAAATGTAGCAAATGACTATCATACGACTAAAATAAATCATAGAATAACCTCCTTATAATGTTAATAACCCTAGTCTCACCCCAAAGTACATGTTATAATGTTCCAAACTTGTCGACTTTCGACAAAACTTATTTTCTTCAATTGGTTTAGCTTCTAAGCTTTCCAACCCTCTTACTACTCGTTATTCATTATCTTAAATATTTGTAACCTCCAAGGTAACATGATTAACTTACTTTATTTTCTTCCAAATATAATCTTATTTCTGAGCTTATATCAATCGACTTACGACGCACTCTCACGTACGAAAAAATGGGGTGTAACAAAAGACTTGCTCCTCTATTGCCTAATCTCATCTCCGATGAACAAGCAGGATTTATTAAAGGAAGGAGCATTGTAGAAAATGTGTTGTTAACTCAAGAAATCATTACTGACATTAGGTTAAGGACAAGGGCAGGACCTAATGTGGTAATGAAATTAGACATGACCAAAGATTACGATAGGCTTTCCTGGATATTCATGACTAAAGTGTTAAGGAAAATGGGCTTTTGTGAAAGGTTCATTGATGTAGTGTTTGGGATTGTGTCTAATAATTGGTATTCAATTTTAATTAATGGCCACCAGAGGAGTTAAGAAAGGGGAACCGTTATCACCTACATTATTCATTTTAGTTGTTGAAGCTATGTATAGAGGTTTGAATGCTCTTCATTTAAACTTATACTTTTGAGGATTTGGCTTGCCAAAGTGGAGCCCTAAGGTTAATCATCTAGTGTATGCTGATGATACTATCATCTTCTCATCGTCTCACGCTACTTCATTACAACTAATTATGGAGGTGTTGAGTTCCTATGAGGTAGCTGGTAGACAATTAATTAGCAAGGCAAAATCAACAATCTATATGCATCATTCAACAAGTTTAGAGGTTTTGAACAAGGTGAAAAGAGTGACTGGAATTGGCGAGCAGGAATTTTCTTTCACTTACCTAGGCTGTCCAATCTTTTATGCTAGAAGGAAAATGGACTACTATGAGGGGCTTGTTAAAAAAGTGATTGACAAGCTCCAATCATGGAAAGGTAAACTTCTATCGTGGTGGCCGGGCTGTATTGATTTCACATGTTCTTCAAAGCATGCCAATACATTTGTTGTCAGCTGTGAATCCGCCAGCCTCTGTTATTAATAAACTTCATAAATTATTTGCTCGTTGTTTTGGAGTAATTTAGTACGAGGAAGAGCTAAACATTGGGCATCATGGGACACATTATGCTTTCCACAAGAAGGAGGGGTTGGATTTAGATCGTTACATGATATGTATAAAGCCTTATTTTGTAAATTATGGTGAAACTTTAGAACAAAGCCTACTTTGTGGAGTGCATTTATGAGTCAAAAATATTGCAAAAAATTGAATGCATGGGTGGTTCCTTGGAGAAATGGATCTTATATGTGGAGAAAGATGATTGAATGTAGGGATGAGATTGAACACAAAATAATATGCAGCTAAGGATAGGTTCTTCACTGTTTTGGTTTGATAACTGGATAGGCTTGGGATCATTGTACTTTGTTACTCCTCCAGATTTCTACTGTGCTGAATCTGTCCACAACGTATATGATGTGATAGTATATGGCTCGTGGGATGAAGGTAAGTTACTGGATATTCTTCCTCAAGAGTTAGCACTACATGTAATTGAGAACATCAAACCTCCTGTACTACATGAATTGGATAGACCATACTGGACGCTGGATACTAGGGGCAAGTTCACTGTTAAAACTGCCTGGGACTATATTAGAAGGAGAAGAGATCCTAATGTTGCTTACAAAAATATATGGGTGAGAGGTTTTCCTTTTAAGATTGCTTTCTTCATGTGGAAGGTTTGGAAAGGCAAGTTACCTTTTGATGACTATTTTAGAAGACTGGGATATTTCATGCCATCCAAATGTTAGTGTTGTATTAATCCGTCAGTGGAAACAATTTCACATGTACTATTTAGATCATATGCAGCTAAGACAGTGTGGCAGTACTTTCTCTCAAATGCAGGCATTAATATTGAAGGATTGTCGATGCAGCAAATAGTCCTAAAATGTTGGGCAGCTCAGGTGGTACCTAGGTTAGAGCCTATACTCTAGGCTTTACCTTCGATTATAATGTGGGAACTTTGAAAAAAAAAGGAATAGTTATAAGTATGGGGAGGCAGTGACAGTAAGTAGGGTGATTTATCAGATCTCATCTAAACTACAAGATTTGATAAGAATAAGGAAACCAAGTTTACAAAATATTTCTCATAAATGGCCAGATTTGTTATATGTAATGGACCACTACATACCAAAGTTGAAGGTGACGAAGGTCTTATGGGAATTACCTGTACAAGGTTGAGTGAAGGTGAATACTGATGGGGCATCAAGGGGAAATCCAGGAAGGAGTCTTTTTGGTTTTGTGTTGAGAGAGGAATATGGTGATATCCTGCATGCACAACAAGGAGATCAATGAAGGGACGACACTGAAGCTGAAGCTGTGGCTATGCTAGAAGCACTGAAGTACTGTGTGCAACATGGTTACACACACGTTAAGCTCCAAACTAATTCCATGATGTTGAAGAATGTGGTGGAGGGAATTTGGTTGTACCATGGATAATTGCAACACAGGTAGAGGAGATCAAAGACATTATGGGGAGATGCAGCATCAGGATATTAAATATTATGAGAGAGGGTAATAAACTCGCTGATTACTTAGCCAACTATGCTTTGGATAAAGGCAATTTTGAGGCTGACAATTTCACACAATGGGAGGTACAAGGTCAAAGATTGGTAAATGGCGATAAATTACAATGTCCCTATTTGAGAATGAAGGTTGCGAAGAACTAGGAGGAATGGAGGATAGGAGTATAAGAAGAAGGGAAAGCACCCATGATCATCATCCTCAAATCTGTACAGAGGAGAGGGTGATGATTCTGTTTTTCACAAACTCTGTTTTTCTTTTTTCTTTTTTTTGCAGGAAATGTTGCTGTATCCATGCCTTACTACTTAATATAAATTCAACGGGTGGTAGTAGCACCTAGTGCTCATTCCCTTGAAAGAGTAGTAGAGTAGGCATAAGCATGGAAGCAAGGAGGAACTCCAGTATACTAGGGTCGACCTACTGTCATCGAAAGATGGCTTTTGACATCCAACATTCTAGTGATTCAATTCTTCATCTGAACACCAATAATTTCACCATGAAGTTACAAGTAAAGAATTTACAATACTAGAGTTATAACACAAGAATATGCATGAGTTTAATCGCGACAATCATGTCATTTATGCGTGACTTGGACTTTTGGCAGTCAAAAATGGGATCAATGGTTGCATTGTGGAGTAAAACCCCAATGCATTTCATTCATTCTATATCACAGGAATGGTGCCAAACAAATGGTTCGATAGATCACTGCTGGAGTCCACACGATTTCCTCACCAACCAGTGCATGCCCATTCTCGTGCACAATTACTGGGCACTTGAAGCAATGAGCAATGCGTGTGATTTTACTAATCCTTATAATAATGCAGGTAATATACTGGATTCTAGACATCAAGAGGCAGGAATTATAGGGTGTGTTTGGGCTGTAAAATGCAAAATTATGCAAGGAGGAGAAGAAACGCATCAAGGATACGACAAGACAGTGAAGGATACGCTACTAGACGGTACACGATTTGGGGATGATCACATGAGCTCCATACACAAGGAAGATACATCTAGAGCTGTAGAAGGAAAACTAATGGCTACACAACTGGATTCATTCTCGTATCCAATTCTGAATAAGGAGTATGAACGAAATTCAAACATGCGATTTGGTATAGCATGGCTAGTTTATTACCTTTTTAGATTACAATTTGTACTATCACTGTTGAGTTCTATACTCGACTTTGATAATAGGAGCTTTGTTACTGTAAAAGTTTATGTCTTTCATCTTGTAAGACCTCCTACCATTTTGTTCACTTTATTTTTAGATATATATAAAAATTAACCCTAGACACCTTACTTAGTGGATTTGCTTGAAAAAAGAAATCTTGTATAATAATTTATATAACTGATTTGCGAACCAAACCCATTAGGAAGTGAGAACCATTTATGCCCAAGGTATTTTTATTCAAAACTAGTACTCTAACCCCATTAGGATGTATGGACCATTTATGTCCAAGATAATTCTCTGGAAAGAAGTATGGTGCTACTCGTGTCCTTACTGCTTAAAAAGAAAAAAGAAAAAGAAAAAAAAAAGAAAGAAAGAGTAAATAGGAAAGAAGCAAATGCCGGGGAGTGTAACATTTTCATCCGGAAAAAAAGGAAGCCATGAACGAGAGGTCTCTAAATATAAATACTTGAAAAACAAGGCGACTACATTCCCGATTATCATTTTCGTTGGCATCTCCAACAGAGTCCGTCGAGAGAGATAAAAAGCATGGCGAAATCCAGCGCCGACGATGAGGAGCTGCGAAGAGCTTGCGAGGCCGCCATTGAAGGCACAAAGCAGAAAGTTGAATTGTCGATCCGTGTAGCCAAAACCAGCGGCATCTTAGGCATTTCCGGAAAATTGAGCCGGGGTGCTATGGCTAAACCGCGAGTTCTCGCTATCTCCAGTACGTAAAATAATCTAATTATGATGTGTTTTAAATGTTTGGATTGTGTATAACTGTCTTCAACTAATTTGGAATGGAGGCCTAGTAGATTTATTGATTAATTTTTTATTTTATACTGCTGACGTCAACAGAAAATAATCTAGTACAATGAAACTCTGAAGGATATATATTATCAATATAACTGACTCAGCTAATTTGGACCCAAGGCATAGTTAATTATTGATTATTCCTTTTTATATTGCTGACACCAGCTTAATAGTATAAGTATAATGATGCTTTGAACTCTGAAGGATATAGATTATTCCCATAAAACTGACGGTAACTATTGGCGGTGCCAGGAATTCTGATGAGGGATTCAAAAAAAATTCGAGTATGTCGCACCTAGGATTTTAACTTGTATTTCTCTTTTAAGGGAATTCAAAATCATATATCTATAAATTTGTTTTTACCATATTTATACAGTATAATTATCCCATTGAATTCCATTCATTGCGCGTGACTCCCGGCATCAACTATTTTGGAATTGACGAGAAGTTGATTGATTGTTTTTTTCTTGGTACTACTAGCACCGGTGTGATAATAGTCTAATTATAATAAATTTACAAAGGATATAGATTATTTACATAACTGAACTCAACTAATTTGGAAAAGAGATGTAGTTGATTTATTGGTGATTTCTTTTATACTCTTGATGCCAGTGTAAAAATAGTCTAATTAAAATGAATGTCAAAATGATACAAATGGATCACCTATACTAATTTGGAATTGAAGCTAACTTGGTTGATTGATTGATTGTTTCTCTTAATGGAGTATGAAAAATTGTCTATTTATTAGAATTTTTGAAGTTTAGAGGTTATTAAAGAAAAAGAAAAAGAATCTGTAAGTTTTGAACCGAGGGGATTGGGGTGAAGTTAATTGATTGACTGTTTCTATTGAATTTCTCCACTCCCTCTTTCTGGCATTTCTCTAATCTATTAATGCGTGATCTGATCCAAATTCCAATTATGCTCATTGGAAAAAGAAGACATGTTATATAAGTATTTTTATGTTTGTTCTAACCTACCATTCGTGGGACGGAATTCTTGGTGGTCATTTGGGCAATTTTGAATTGAAGTTGAAAAACAGTACTTGAAGCTGAAAAAAAGTTTGTGGAAGTTAATAGTATCGTGTTTCACTTTTTCTGGTGATGTTACGCGAGCTTCTCCACCCATGTTTTACTTATTTTTCTTAGTAAATTTAGAGCACAAGTAACAATGATTTAACTCATGTTGCACTTATATTGCTGAGTAAATGTAGCTAGGCTATGCTTACTATAGTCTTACCATTGTCTCGGATGATAAACGAAACCGATCGTCTATTAGTAGATCATATCTTTTAACTTAAGATCAGATTTGACGTGTCAAACACTAACTTTAGGCAGCCTCTATCTTCATTTGACCCAATTATACATGCAGAGTCAGAATTCTTTTTGGACAATGGATTATTCAATAAAGTTGTTTGGTACTTCAACATTTTGATGTTGTGGTAGTAGTTCCTTTATTCTAAACAAAAAGCGTCATCTACTTATTCAAAAAAGATGTTTCATAAAATAATCTCATAAATCTACAAATTCAGGTGGAAATTTTGGTTAACATTTGGATATCTAGCCTCATAACTTAAATGGTGCATTCTTTCTGGGATGAGGAGTAACATCCGAAAAATTAGATGTACTGCAGTAATTTCAGAGTTTCTCCTATGAAATAGTTGTGTTGCCAACTAGAATAGGTCATTTCCATTTGTGCAGACAATCATAACATGTGGTTTATGCAGCAAAAGCTAAAGGCCAACGGACTAAAGCTTTTCTTCGTGTCTTAAAATATTCTAATGGAGGAGTCCTTGAGGTAATACTTCTAATAAATCTTTTTAATGTTAAACTTCTCTTCTTCGATTCAGATACCTTTTCAGTACTCCAGATTATTTAGAGGATGAAGATAATACCTTTATAAGTTAGTGTAGCTTGTCTACCAACATGAAGCTATGAATCTATAACTTCATTAAGCTGTGGATAGTATTCATATGTTATATGACATCTACTTTATGAAACTTTTAATTTTGGTTGTGCATAAGGAATCTGTAGTATCTCTGAACTTGCTGATAAAACTGTTTAGAAGGATTATTTTACTTATTGTCATAGATAGACTCATGAAACCGCACTGCATCTCACAAAATCCATATTTTTGTGCTCGTGAGTTTCCTTTAGAGCAAATTGTGCTGAAGTCCCTTGTTAACCTAACAACAATATAATGCTTGCACCTGTAGCCTGCAAAATTGTACAAGCTTAAGCATCTTTCAAAGGTGGAGCTGGTAACTAATGATCCAAGTGGTTGTACGTTCATGCTGGTAAAACTCACAGCAAATTATTTTGCCATTCTACCTGCAGCTATTATTTGGAGCTTATTCTTGATGATCTTGTTACACAGGGTTTTGATAATCTCAGAAGTCAAAGTGTTACTCCACCTCAGTGGACAATGCGTAATGTTGACGATAGGTATTTGTTTAAATTTTAGTGTGTAAATATCTGAGTTCTTTTTCTCATGTAAGCATTTTTATCATGACCTTTTGTTTTAACTATGTAGGAACCGTCTTTTGCTTTGCATCCTAAACATCTGTAAGGATGTCTTGGGTCGTCTCCCCAAGGTTGTTGGCATAGATGTGGTGGAGATGGCTCTTTGGGCAAAGGTGCATTATAAAAGTTCCACAATTGCTTTCAACATATTATAGCACACTCTTAGGCGTGGCTCTGGAAAGTAGGCATGCTTCATTTAGTTATGGCATCAAGGATTTGCTCTAGTTGGTTGCTGTCTATTTGTTTGTGTTAATTTTCTATCAGGCTTGAGTAAAATCATCCTTGATGATGATAACCGCTTAATCACATGTCGTTGGAAGGTGAATCTCAAAAATGTCTAACAGGTTTGAAATGGTTGGCAAAGTCTTGAGGGGGACTTTTGGTTTATTCAATGTGGGTGTTATCCATTTGCCTAATTCTCTGATTTCCCATCCATTTAATCCACACACAGTGACTCTTTTCAAGAAAAAGAGTATTTATTTTTGTCATTTTCTGTATGATAGCCTAATTTAATATATTATAAAAATAGTTCTCTGGCTAATCGTTAATTTCTTTGTGATGTAAATTATTTTAATATTAATTTTATAAAAATTTAATACATGCAGGCGAAGTATATCTTTGTTGTAAAAATTCAATCCCACCTTCAATTCTACCTACCAGTAACTTTTATTTATTCCCAATGCCATGACTATATCAGTGATATTTCAATCTCACTTTATCCTGTCATGAACCAGAGGGCCCTAAATGGTGGCATTGATCATGTCACATTGAGAAACTTCTTGCCTCGTCTTCCTGTTAAAACCCAAATGTTTCAGCTTTTGTCAATCCTATCCCCTGATTTCAACTGCAAAATAAGCATGTGAATGATGTAATAGAATTGCTCTAAATGCGCTTAAGATAGTATAGTCATTCTTTTTGTCTCTTCTTTTGATGAGTGAAAGGATAATCATTCCTGTTCTCATATAAAATACACAATAGTCGCTGAAGATGGACTCTGTTAGTGACAATTTTTTCTTTTGATCTAATACTATCATAGTATCAGTTACATATATTGGTAAAGCTAGTTATCTTCGCTCTTGTGCCTTATATCAGTGGGAATCCTTAAAGGAGGATCTCAATGTGTCTGTTAAAGTTGAAAAAGATACTAGTTACTTATCTAAAAAAGGTCTTTTAAGTTGAAATGAATGGGAAAGTCTTTGCGAAAGGTCACTACACCTGGAACATAACCTTTTGCATCTAATGCCCTATAAAGTTCAACAACTACAGTTTTTGTCTGTTGGTATTCTTACCTGACTCTAGATATGCGGTAAGCATGTAGGAAGTTCTATTAATCTGCTTAAGGATACAGAGTCATTTATGTTCTCTTATAAATACGCAGTTGGAAACTCTCTACTAGTTAAAGACGAAAACTGCCTTTACATACAATGGTAAGCTGATAGTCCTCTTTGTCACAAATAAAATGTTCACACTTTTTCTCCTGTTTCTTTAGTTATAGTGTCTTTGAGGGTCATATGTACGTTCACTATTTAATTGAAGATAAACACTTACCTGTTGACATCAGAAATAGCTGTTTGATTGCAATATGTTTCTAAAAATGAACTAAAACAAAAGCTGGTGCTTGATAAATTTTATGTAAATCTAATTTATCTGATCTACACTTACCTGTTGACATTAGAAATAGCTATTTGATTGCAACATGTTTCTAAAAATGAACTAAAACAAAATCTATAAATTTTTATGTAATTCTAATTTATATGATCTAATGCAGGAAAATACTCCAACAATTACCAAGCAACAAGCAAATCCTCAAGATGGGCCTCTTCCTGCTGTAGCAGAAGAAGGTGAGATGACAGTAACTGTTGAAAGAGAACTTGTATCTCAAGCAGAGGAAGAGGACATGGAGGCTCTTTTAGGCATGTATGTAACGTCTTTCACCTTCTCGGGACATTGCATTATGCCCATTTTTGCTCGAAATATGAACTGCTTATGTCTACTTCTTTTATGTTGTCCTCTTGCCACTACTTTATATGTCATGGGGAAATGTCAAGTATTCTCACTTTTCTTTTCCTTAAAAAGCTAGTATACTAGTTCAACTAGGTGATGTGGGAGTGTTACTGTTAACTACTTAAAAAAGACAGCCCCCTTTCTATTTATAAAGCTAGGAGTTTTATAAAACTTCAAGTTGGCTACCTGCTTACAATTTTAAATGGAATAATGATCGAGAAACCCGTCTAAAAGCACTCTACTATTTCTGAAAACAAATAACTATCTCGTGTCACTACCTTGTTTGTGTGTAGTGTCCTCGAGGCTCTCTCGTGCTTTATTCCTCATGGTGAACTACCAGTCTCATCTGAAAGACCGTACAAGCAGCAATCCCGTGTCTAATCTCTGTATTAGTTATAGACTTAAAAAATTTTGGTAGGTTCAGTTTTGTCCTGAAATAATTAGGAAACAATTCTGGAAGATTGTGAATTTTTCTGGAAACGAGTACAAAGGATTAATGTTTTGGTCAAGAAAGTGTGTATATGATTAGGAATGCAAGACTAGGGAGTTGCAACTTAAGTGTGCAATCTTGTGGTTACAATTGGTTTGGCTGACGTAGCTTCTTGCTGAATTTACAAAAGAATGCAGTAATTTTATATGCCAGTACTCTTTCCAGATTTTGTGTCAGCAGTTGAGCCTTCATCCTGGTTGTCCTGCCAACTGCTTTACTGCTGAACTTATTTTGTATCAGGCAAGCTATTGCTGATACAAATTACCTCGTGATGCTTTTGTGCTCTTAATTCTATGGAGAATGATGAATCATCTACTATTTATGCATATAAAATACCTTTTCATCTATTGTTTATATATAAGACCATATTGTTGCGGAAGCCAAATGTATAGAGTGTGAATAAGTCACAACTACTATACCAAAAATTATGACAGCCACCAAATAATAGATAAGACAATAAAGCAATAATAAAGGGAACACCAGAATTTACGAGGTTCGGCTAATTCTGCCTACTTCTCGGACACAACCAAATATTTTATTCCACTCCAAAATACAAGTAAAATAATACTAAAGAGAGAAGATACAAATGCCTTAAACAGATGAGAAGGCAAATGAGAGGTGTGTTTCAATCCTAAACATTAGGCCTTCTTTTATAGGGGAAAAATCCCCCCAAACTTAACTCTCAACCAATGTGGGACTTTGGCATTTTGCCAAACATCAACACATATAACTTAAGTCTAGTTAGGCACTTTTTCAACCTTGATAAGGCATCTAGTGCTGAGTCTGATATCGCATAACATGGGTTTTAAGAATCATTTAACATATTCTAGATAACCGTGTTGGCTGTGGTTGTTTTTCTTAATTGGAGAATAGAAGTTGTAGACAGCACTATTAGCAGACACTTAGTTTGCTCTCTGTTCCCCCTTTTGTTTCACCCTAGCGCTGTTTTGGTTTGTCTCCTGACTTTGGTTTCCAAATTCCTACAGTTATGTAATGGGTATTGGTGAGGCTGAGGCATTCTCTGAGCGGCTGAAGCGAGAGCTTCAAGCTTTGGAAGCTGCTAATGTGCATGCCATTTTGGAGAATGAGCCATTAATAGATGAGGTGACCCATTTTCTTGTGAAGAGTTCTTGTTGCTTTGATGCCAGTGTCAAAGCAGAGTATGGTTTCTATTTGCAGGAGTTGCTACATTTTTCCTATTTCCGACAATTTAGCCTTTTTCTTGATAAAACTATGTGTCTCTTTCATTATGAACATCTTCTCTGCCAAGTGCAATAGCACAGGCAAAGTTTTCCTTGTTCTCTGCTCCTCTGATGCAGCTTATACTATTTCCCTGATATGTATGCTCTCGCACTTGATATGTCTAACATAAATATTTTCCGTATAGATAAACTTATGCTTCTGTATCTAAATTCTTGTTTCTGCAGGTCTTGCAGGGGCTTGAATCTGCTACCAACTGTGTTGAAGATATGGATGAATGGTTAGGCATCTTCAATGTAAAACTTAGACACATGAGAGAAGACATTGAATCAGTAAGAATTTCTGCATAGTGCTTCTGTGTGATGCTGATGCTTACCAGTAATGATTATTGTTAGAGAAGACATTGGTGAATCACTTGAATGTGAAACTTATTTTTGAATCATTGTTCTTTGTTCTCATAAACAGTTGTGTATAGTTCCTTTTTCAGACTTTATGGATTTTATCATCGTACTAGCTAATTTATCTACAAAGAACATGATTCCCTTCCTGATTCAAACCGAGGTTGGATATGCAAAAGTGTGAGCTTTTTGTGTATAATATGGTGGGGGTGGATTGAGCTTTTCGGGAGCACCGCAGTGCGATTGGATGGCCGATTTCATGAATCTGAATGATTCTAGTGTGTAATTTCTACAAGGCCAAGTTTTCCACAATACAGATATCTCCAATCATGTAGAATGTCAGGACTCTATTATTTGAATGTAGACCTCCTTTGCTAATGCAGTATTGGTTCATTCACAATATGCAGATAGAAACCCGCAACAACAAGCTGGAAATGCAGTCAGTAAACAACAAGGCATTGATTGAGGAACTTGATAAGCTTCTTGAAAGACTGCGTATCCCTTCTGAGGTGTTTCTCTTTCTTTCTTGGAGCTGATTAGTGGGCGGCATTTAATAATTTAATTTTTCTTCACTTCATTCATTCTTGGTCTATAGTATGCAGCGAGTTTAACAGGTGGTTCGTTTGATGAGGCAAGAATGCCTCAGAACATTGAGGCATGTGAGTGGCTAACTAATGCTCTACATGGCCTTGGATCGCGTAACTTGGATCCTAGCTTTGCAAACATGAGAGCTGTATGTCCACTTGGTTATTCTTTTCTGTCTTTTCTTTTGATCATTTCCTTTTTGATGTTGTGCTTCAGCATGTAACGTAGGTAGACAAGGTTAATGTAGGTAAGCATGCATATGTTAAGGCACACTACAAATTTGCCCAGACAGGGCTTGGATGACCGATTCGTTTAAAGTAATCTGAGTAAATAAAAATGGTAGAACTATTTTGAAATCCACAGTAGGACCTCATATAAAAATGGTTGAGTTATTGCAAAATACACAGTCATGACCTAGCTAGTGCTGGATCCAAATTCCTGCTAGTATTTTCTGGGGAAATCAAAAATGTCCTATCATTACATTTACCAAGTTGTCCTGCCTTTGATATTCTAACAGTCTGTCATATAGACAGTGGGTCATCTCTGCACTTGTACAGAAAAAGTTACTTAACAAAAAATTAAGACATTGATGTCTGTGAATATCTTGCAGGTGAAAGAAAAACGAGCAGAAGTCGACAAGTTAAAAACGACATTTGTTAGAAGAGCATCTGAATTCTTGAGAAACTATTTTTCCAGTTTGGTGGATTTTATGATGAGTGATAAAAGTTATTTTTCTCAGGTATACGACCAATCAGTTTTACTTGAATTAATTGTCATTAGTCTTCTATAAATAGTCACTTAGAGGCTGCTTATAATATTAATTAAACAGCGTGGGCAATTGAAGAGGCCTGACCATGCTGATCTCCGATACAAGTGCAGAACATATGCTCGTCTATTGCAGCATTTGAAGGTCGGATTTCTCCAACTTGTTAAATTTTATCATTGTTTTAATATTTCCTGATGTCTTTCTCTCAATCCTTTGCATTTGCAGAGTCTTGACAAGAATAGCTTGGGCCCTTTAAGAAAAGCTTACTGTACCTCCCTCAACTTGCTTTTGCGCCGAGAGGTCAGAAAGCTTTGTCTTTTTAGTTTTTTTTTTTTTTCTTTTTCTTTTCCCTTTGTAGCTTCTTTCTGTTGAGGGGGTTACTTAAGTCCCCATTAAGTTCACTGCAGCTATGTGCACTTTTAAGCCAACAGAATCTGTTTTCTTCATCTCAGAACTCCCAAAGGCATGTATCACTTGTTTGTCTATAGAATCTTTCCCATCAAAGAGTTGCTGAATGAACCTGCTTTTTAAGTGAATAAATAATCTAAGCAGCAGTTCTGTTGGGTAGTTTAGCTGGGCGAAACTATTAAGTGCAGTAACTTCTCAGAAAGAAGTCCGAGAGCAG